TGAGGAGTGTGATCCCCCTATAGTTGGAACACACCCTCCGGTCCCCCTTCTTAAAAAGAGGGACCACCACCCCGGTCTGACAGTCCAGAGGCACTGTCCCCAACCGCCATGTGACGTTGCAGAGGCGTGTCAACCAGGACAGCCCCACAACATCCAGAGACTTAAGGTACTCAGGGCGGATCTCATCCACCCCCGGTGCCTTGCCACTGAGAAGCTTCTTAACCTTCCTGTTATGTTCTGGGTCAAATTGACCCAGTGCAAAGTAACAAAAAAAATCTAAAAAAAATAGTTAAAAATATTTTATTGGTATGAAACTTCGTCTGCTTGGCGTAATAGGTGTGATCAACATATAAAATGAAAATGGTTCAATTCACATATTTGCAACATCCCCCTGCATGTTTATATTACAAAGATACTGTTCAGGTCAACATAACAGGAGGGTTAAAAAACATGTCTTATCTTGGAATTACATTAACAAAACAAATTGATACACTGTATAAGGTAAACTTTAACAAGGTAGACCAGGGAATTAAGAACGACATACAACGGTGGGAACCTCTGACATTAGATTTTAGTTCTAGAATTGAGATCATAAAAATGAATATTTTGCCCCGTCTCCTTTATCTTTTTCAGGCACTTCTGATTGAAATACCAGAGAAACAGTTTAAATCATGCGATCGACTTATATCAAGATTTGTATGGAATGGTAAAAAACCTAGAATAAAATTTGAAAAATTGCAGATTGGAAAAGATAACGGGGGTATGGCTCTGCCTAATCTTAAAGAATATTGTCATGCAGCTCAAAAAGGCCCCATATTGAATTTATGTGATAAAAACTATGAGACAAAATGGAAAAATATTGAATGCTTGGTACGGGGAAGGGAACTCTCAAGTATTATTGGTGAGTTGGAGACTATTAGAAACTTATTAAAACATGTCAATACTGTGACTAGATTGACATTAGAAGTGTGGCTTTACGTAGTACAGAAACACAAACTAGAAAGGGTGCTCTGCCTACTTAAATGGCCTACCTATACTAACAGTTTCACTCCAAATGCATTTAATTCTAGATTTAAACAGTAGATTAACAATGGTATTACAGCCTTTTGTGTATTAGTAAAGGATGGTAACTTTAAAAGATTTCAGGAACTAAAACAGGAATTTGATCTAACAAACTGTGATCACTTTCGATACCTACAAGTGAGAAACTTCTATGATAAAGAAGTAAAGCACAAAGTTGATTTTAATAAGGGTATCAGAACTTTAATTAATTGGCATATACCACTCAAAGATAAAGGACAATATCCACTCTCTACAAGCACCCAATGGAAAAGAAGGGATTCAATACATTGGATGTAAAACAAAAGTGGGAGACGGGGGGACAGATGGGGAGTGGATGAATATCTGGAAAACTCAACAGTCAACGACCCTCTATGGAGGGAACACTGCTGGAAAAATGTAACAATTTTTTATTACACCTAAAATTACAAGCAAGTACATGTCCAGAGTTCAGCCATGTTGGAGAGAGTGTGGAGATATAAATGTAAATCATTCACATGTATTCTGGTTATGTCCTAAAATTATACCATTCTGGGATGATGTGCACACTGTTATTGTCAAGATACTAGGTTACGGCATCCCCAAAACATGTGTAGTTATGTATCTACGACACCTCACGGGAAATATTGTATTTAAAGAAGATGGATACCTGTTAAAAATACTATTGGCGGCCTGCAAGAAGGCCATCACCAAAAAATGGTGTAGGCCTAACATACCTACAAGAGAAGAATGGCTTCAAATTGTACACATAATTTTTGAAATGGAGTTTTTGATGTATAAATTAAGGACTCAGGTGGAACGATGTCAAGACAGTGACGAGTCAGCCTATAAATGGGAGGTTGAACAGCTGGTCCTGTGGTGTAGTCACAACAACCTGCCTGGAGCTGAACACGCTCAAAACAGTGGAGATAACAGTGGACTTCAGGAAGAACCCCCCCCCACCATACTGGATGAACTGTATCAGCAGTAAAGTCCTACAAGTTCCTGGGCTCCACTATTTCCCAGGACCTGAAGTGGACATCCAAAATAGGCACCATCATCAAGAAGCCACAGCAGAGGATGTACTTCCTGCACCAGCTCAGGAAGTTCGACATATACAAACGATAAAGCATTCACCCCTGTGAGATTATATACAGTTTTAAGCGCGAGAGAGAGAGTGATAAGAGTTGTGCACAAGTTGGGGTATAGGGATCACACAAATGTAGCTTTCATACAGTCTAAATTGTTAAAATTCTTTGATTTAGTGGAATATAAGACTGCTGTGTTTATGTATAAAGCCAGGAACGACTTATTACCTGGTGGAATCCAAAAGTTATTTGGTGAAAGGGAAGGGGGATATAACTTAAGGGGACATTTAAATTTAAAAGTTCATGCTATACGAACAACCAAAAAAAGATTTTGTATTTCTATAAGTGGGGTCAAATTATGGAATAATTTAACTGTGGACATGAAAAATAGTACTAGAATTGAGGAGTTTAAATATAAATATAAATGTATGTGTTATACAAGATATATGCAAGAATAAGATTTATTCGAGAAGGCATTGAGGAAACACTGTTTTATCTACAGCATGTAGAGATACTGCTTGCAGCTGATGATGCATGAAACTTTGTAATATGATGTCATGGGGTAGGACTGGATAAGTCTGACTTCTTCCTACTCCATTCAAACATGTAATAGGTGTAAGCAAACTGATTTTGGATTAGGATTGGTTGGATATGTGTAATTATGTGTGTTGTTGTCATTTGTTCTGTTCTGCATGTTTGAAAGAATAAATCAATCAATTAATTGCACCATGGTTTTCCCTACCAAAGAAAGACACAGGCGCAGTACCTAAGTATTTCTGCGGAGTGCCTAAGCTGAATGAATGTAAAAACAACAGTGAGTTATATGAGCTGAAAAACAACAGAGGTTACTTGACCTGAAAATGAAACAAAGTGGCAACAGGAATGACCTATCAATCAACAATTAGTGCTAGGAAGAACGTTTGTACGATTGGGGTGTGACAGCATCACTGAGCTAATCAAACAGCTGACTGGCTGTTTCTCTGTACTGTCACTTCAGGATTAATCACATGAATGACCAACAGTCTAGCACCAGCATGACTAGATGGATTTCTGGCATGTCAGAAAATTGGTTTGCTGTCTTGCAGGTTCACAGTCCAAAGCAAGTTCAGTGCATTTGCATGAGTGCAAAGACAACAACATAACCTCACTGTTCCACTTTCCTCCCTCATTCATACACATGTATTCTGTCTTACCACAACTGACTTTCATTTCTCTTCTTTCCAGAGCAGACCTCCACCTTTCTAGGTGTTCCTCCACCTGCTCTCTGCTCTCACTACAGATCACAATGTCATCTGCAAACATCATTGTCCAGGGAGATTCCTGTCTGACCTCATCTGTCAACCTGTCCATCACCATAGCAAACAAGAAGGGACTCAAAGTACAAAGGCTAAAAGTAGCCATGTTTCTCTTTTGGTTGACCTCAACTTTATCGGAGGGGTCAATGAACACACTTGCTCCATGGTTCTGTTTGAACATCAGTGTTAATACTTATGTATGCCCCATGGAGTGAACAAGTTCTGAACAAATTATACATTGTATGTTAGTAAAGGTTTTCAACTTGAACAATTTGTTCATCAAGATCCGGTGTGTGATTCAAGTATTCCCTTAATTCTTTTTGAGCAGCGTATTTAAGGAAAAGAGGTCTTTACTTAATTTTACTTAATTTACTTAAAACCTTTTCAAAGCCAAAATATCTCCACATGTGAGTGAGAATGATCCACATCTAGCAATTAAATCTAATGGCATAGACTGCAAGGCTGGTAGTGTCTGTAATTCCTATCCTGGTGCTGTTTGTTCACTTGTTTTAATGCATTTTAGGCAGCTACCCTACAATAACTTGTGGTGTGGTGACCATGTACACATAGCGTGTGCACTCTTAATGCACACGCTATGTGATGTAGTTAATGTGGGGACTATTAATATGTGTTACTTTGAGTATGTCACTCACACTGCAAATGACAACTCACATTGCTTAAATAAAAGCAATTATGGTATTATCATAGGTGACATACATCGTACCCCCAAGTTGTATCTTGTTTGTTTAATTGTTATACAAATAGTACTGTAAGCTGAGATCATAGCTGAGTTTCAGTGTTTCTCACCTGAGTGTAGGCTCAACTCTCCTGGCCTGATGCAGCTCCTGCTCACGGTCTCTGAAACCAGTGAAGGTGTAGTAGCTGTTATCCCATTTGATAGCTCTGTAGAAAGGCACCCCCGCTACAGGTGGACTTCTAGATGTCTCTGCACTTGTTTTCAGTCCTTCCATGTGTTCCATGGGCAGGCTGCAGGACTTTAGAACATTCATCACTGTGCTCAAGACATCATTTGTGTGCAGGGTAAAACTCACTGACCGGAACCCTGAAAACCAATTGGGAGGTTTTAGATATCTGAAAACACGACATATTACACTATATTATGAGTAGTAGTAATGAAAACTGTACCTGGGATAAGGAGGCTTGGCTGCATATCACTGCTGTTCTTTGTGTCCCTAACATAAAAAGTGAGCTTCATTGGGTGAACTGAGCACGATCCAGGCTTCTGCAGGTTTTCCAGATAGCCATTAAGCCGCTTTAATGAATTCTCATTCACTTCCTATAAAACAAAACATGAAATGTTATACAGTGGGATGTATAACATCAAAAAAAAAAAAAAAAAAAAAAAAAAAAAAAAAAAAAAAAAAACAACAACTCTTTCATCATGGTAATCAGGGTTGTGCTTTGAACAGCAGTAACCCTCCAGTAAAACACTGCACCTGTCTGTGTTGGTGTGGGCCTGTTGCTACACACAGGCACACAGCACTACTGACAGTCGGAACACAAACTTAGAAACCAATCAGTCTACCGACAAGTTAAAAGTCACAGTTTATTCGCTTCAGATTTGATTTATAACATAATAAGATTTTTTTTTTTTTATTTGCATCCATAATTTAATTACTAAACCTACCCGTTCTCTAAACAGCAACTCTTTCATCATGGTAATCAGGGTTGTGCTTTGAACAGCAGTAACCCTCCAGTAAAACACTGCACCTGTCTGTGTTGGTGTGGGCCTGTTGCTACACACAGGCACACAGCACTACTGACAGTCGGAACACAAACTTAGAAACCAATCAGTCTACCGACAAGTTAAAAGTCACAGTTTATTCGCTTCAGATTTGATTTATAACATAATAAGATTTTTTTTTTTTTATTTGCATCCATAATTTAATTACTAAACCTACCCGTTCTCTGGGATATTGACCAAAGAAGTCAGGATGGACAGCAAAATAAAAGGGTC